TACGGGCTTGTGTAGTGGACCTCTCTGAGTTGATTTTCGCGTTCCTCACTGTGCCAGCCACTGTGGCTCCCTTCGGTTAGCATCGCGGTCTCTTCGGGCGTGCTTGATGGAGCCTTTCCGCGCTGCAATTCGCTTGCCTTGTTGGCCTTGATGGCCCAAGAGCCTCCCCACTGGCGGTGGCGGGCGGGGGGGCCAGGGGAAGGAGAGGAAAAGGAGGGAACGGGGGGGGAGGAGGAGGAGGAGGAGGAGGAGGAGGATACGGAAGAAGAAGAAGAAGAAGAAGCAGAAGAATAATAAGAATAATAATAAGAATAATAATAATAAGAAGAATAAGAATAATAATAATAAAGAAGAAGAAGAAGGGGGAGGAGGAGGAGGAGGAGGAAGAGGATGGCGAGGAGGAGGAGGAGTCGAGCGGGAACACTACTGCACCAAGACCGTCTTGACGGGGCAGCGCTCCCGCTCGAGCGTTGGCGCCCCGCCAAGATCCAGAGTGGCCCAGACTGCGAGCTGGCCTCGCGCCTGCTGCGGCAAGCAAAATCTGGCGCGGAGACGGGTGGCGCGGAGGGCTGGACGAGGATTTACGAAAGTCGGGGGCGGAAAAGAGGGGGGTGATGACTAGGGGGGGGGTGGACATCATGGCGTGGGCCATGATATCTCCGCAGATTTTATGGCGTCTCTTCTTATTTCATTACGTCCCTGGCCCCCCCGCTGGGCCGCGCACATGCCGCCGGCCATGATTTGCACCCCCCCCCTCTTGGACACCCCCCTCTTGGCCGCTCCCGAGATTTACGAAAGGAGGGGGATGGGCTTCAGCTCGCCGAGGGGCAGCGAACGCGATCTGTGTTGCTGGGGCGACGGAGGAGGAGGAGGAGGAGGAGGAGGAGGAGGAGGAGGAGGAGGAGGAGGAGGAGGAGGAGGAGGAGGAGGAGGAGGAGGAGGAGGAGGAGGCAGTGCTTGCAGGGCAAGAGCAAGCCTAAGCAGCCCAATCGTCGGTAAGAGCAAACCTAAGGTCCGAGCTTGTCGCGAGTTGGTGTCGTAAGGAATGTTATTGACGGATCAAGCACGCCGGCTGAGCGCATTGGGATCTGGCCCTGGAAACAACGCTGCCCCCCAAGCAACCTCCAAGGGATGGGGACATGGAGGATGAGCAGGAGGAGGGGCAGGCAGAAAAGCAGGAAGACGATGAGGTGGGGGCGGCGGAGGCGGCGGGGGGGAGGTGGAAGGAGGAGGAGGAGGAATAATATTAAAAATGCGAATTATAAGATAGTAAAGATAAGCGTACACATAGAATTAATAATAACAATACTGCTGCTACTATCGGTCATGATAGTAAGACATAAGAGTACTACAGTAATCCCAGTAATACTGAGACTGTCAGTATTTTCACGAATAGTACTTCTACGAATGCGACGAAGACTGTTTTACGAATAATCATACGACGATGCGAATACGAATGCGACTACGAAGAAGACGAGGACAAGGAGGAGGATGAGGAGGATGAGGAGGAGGAGGAGGAGGAGGAGGAGGAACCGGAGCAGGAGGAGGAGGAGGGGGAGGAGGAGGAGGAGGAGGAGGGAGGAGGGAGGAGGGGAGGGGGAGGGAGGAGGAGGGGTTCTGCATATTGCTTCTTCGCGCCGCATCTGGCAGTGACACGGCAAGCACGCGGCTCCTGCCTGCCAGGTGGAGGCTGGCATGCAGCCTGGGAGCGCCCAGGCGGGAGGGGGGGGGGGGGGCAGTGCCAGGTAGGGCGTGGCATTATCGATCGGTTGGGGGCATGGCAGGGTGGGGTGTGGGAGGGGGGGGCAGGATGTGTGGGGACGTAGCGGTGCGTGGTTTGAGCAGGTGGGAAGGTATGTTGGGGGGGGGTTGGCAGGCCGAGGCCGAGGAGGGGGCGACCGAGGAGGAGGAGGAGGAGGAGGAGGAGGAGGAGGAGGAGGAGGAGGAGGGGGAGGAGGGGGAGGAGGAGTATGATGAGGTCACGGGGGGATGGGGGCGAGTTGTGGATGAAGAAGGCAGTGGTGATGAGACGGCAGGAGTCAAGCCAATCGGCTTCCTCCGAGAACATCGGAGGCTACGGCGGCACGGCACAGCACTGCTCGCCCTCCCGAGTGAGCGCGAGCACGCGATTTAAGCGGTCACGCGGCGCCCACCGCACATCTACTCTTCTATGCTGCCCTGCCCGTGCGAGATCCGCGGTGCGCACTGCGCGCGTGCAATTTCTCACACGATGTGCGCGCGATGCTACTAACATGAGGGGCCGTTTGCCGCCTGGGATCGACGTGGTCGCCAAAATGCGGTGGTGCCGCGCCCGAACGGTGGCGCACCCTTCAACAGGCGATAGGGCAGCGTTATCTTTCTCGCGCGTGGTGTGCGCTTCGTCCCATTCCCGCCTGGCACTTCACAGCGTCGACGATAACATGTCTACTTTGGCAGGTGCGCGTGGAATCTGGATCGAAGTAGGAGTGGGAGGTGGCAAAAGGTGGATGGGGAGAGGGGAGGAGGAGGAGGAGGAGGAGGAGGAGGAGGAGGAGGAGGAGGAGGAGGAGGAGGAGGAGGAGGAGGAGGAGGAGGAGGAGGAGGAGGAGGAGGAGGAGGAGGAGGAGGAGGAGGAGGAGGAGGAGGAGGAGGAGGGAGGAGGAGGAGGAGGAGGAGTAGGAGGAGGAGGAGGAGGAGGACCAGTGTAAACCCAAGGGTCATCAACGGTGTTGGAGTAAGCCCTCCCTCCAAGCTCCCTCTTCATAGGCCCCTACAACGGTTCATTTCCATTGATAAACCTGCTTCGTTGGAAGGCACCCGTTTAAAGACCCTGAAGCATTCCCAAACATTGTTCTCGGGATTCCAACGCTACGGATCAACCTGTTTGTTGCGTCATAACGGTCCTGAATCTTGCGAGAACGCCATTGTTCGGACTTCAACACCGACAATTAATGTAACTGTTGCACCCGCATGGTCTTGATTCGCTCCAGAGCACCATTTCTGGTACGTCGATGCTGGGATTCCGTGGAACTCTTGTTGGGAAGTTTCTAAACAAATGTGCGCCGCGCTAAGGCGAGAGCCACATTTTGAAAATGAGCCGCCCTCAATCCGTGCAACTCTTGCAGTTGTTTTCTAAAACGGATGTGCGCGGAAGGCGCGAGCCACATTTCGCAAACGGCTCGCCCTCAATCCGTGAAGCTCCAGCATGTTTCTTTAATGAATGTTCGCGGCGCTAAGACGAGAGCCACATTTTGAAAACGACCCGCCCTCAATCCATGAAGCCCTTGCAAATGTTTAAGACAAATGTGCGCCGCGCTAAGGCAATAGCCACATGTTGAAAACGACCCGCCCTCAATCCGTGAAGCTCTTACATGTTTCTTTAACGAGTGTTCGCGGCGCTAAGGCGAGAGTCACATCTGAAAACGACCCGCCCTCAGTCCGTGAAGCTCTTGCACACAGTTAAGACGAATGTGCGCTGCGCTCAGGCGAGAGCCACTTGTCGAGCACGACCCGCCTTCCATCTATGAAATTGCTGCCAATTTTTAAACTTCCGGGTCATACGTGGTGAGGAAATCTCAGGCGAAACGCCCTGCCCGCCCAACAAGCTGGCCTCGGGGTGCGACAGGGAGAAGCTATTTCTAAAGACAAGAAATTGAGGAAGAGGAGGAGGAGGAGCACGCGACGACGCGCGGGCGTGCATATTATATATACACACGCACACACACACACCCCTTTTTGCAGAAGGATTTCTGTCAATTTATGGTCTTTGATAAACGAGTGTGCGCGCACCGTATGCTTTGCAGAGGATGAGGGGCGGCGATGCTGATCTGCCTGGGGTGGAATGAATTCATATGTAGAGCGTGCGATCACATGCACCTTGCAATGCGATAAGGTGGCCCGTTAACCCGGGGTGGGGGGGTGGGGTTGGGGGTGGGGTGGGGGTGGGGGTAGATCGTATTACCTTCCTCGCAGCGGATAATCGAAGTGTTGCAACCGATGTGGGGCAATCAGTGCTGCGCGCGCTAGGTGGTGCAACCAAGGTCGTCCAATTTATGTGGTGCAATGCATGTTGTGCACCCCGCTGTGTGCAGTCGATGTTATGGGAGCCTGGCGGCGGACGTGCTCCAAATACAGCGACGGGACAGCGACGGCGACCACATACCCGCCAGACCGTTCACAAGGCCCAAGCGACGGGCGGCGACGAGGCGGCGACGGGGCGGCGACGGCGACCACATAGCCGCCATATTGTCCACACGGCCCAGACGCCGGGTGGCGACGATGCGGCGACGGGGCTGCGACGGCGATTATGTATCCGCCATGCCGCCCACATGGCCCAGGCGACTGGCGGCGTTGAGGCGGCGACGGGGCGGCGACGACGACCACAGCCGCCAGATTGCCCTTACGGCCCAGACGACGGGCGGCGACGATTTGGCGACGGAGCGGCGACGGCGATCACATAGCCGCCAGACCGCCCACATCGCCCAGTCTGTTTAAGAGACAGAGACCCCTTACTGCAACCACTGTTCCGAGAAGCGCTCCTTGATGCTAGACGTGCCCCCCCCCTCCTTCACAGAACCCGTCTGCCATACGTCGCCCCCTCTATTAGCCACCGTCTCTCCCCACGGTGGTTCAAGCAGGCCCCGTGCGCCGAGTGGTGGTTCTGTTCTGCGTGTGTATGTATGTATATAAATATGTATATATATATATATATATGTATGTGTGTGTGTGTGTGTTTGCGTGTGTGTGTGGGGTGTGTGAAGGTGGTTGTGTTTTGGGTGTTTGTTCCACACGCGAGTATCCTTCGCTGTGTGCAGACACTGCTTCAGTACCGACCCGTGCAACATCCATGATCATCACACACCCTCATCCTCCTCATCCTGCCGATCCTCTTCCCCTCACTTCTCTTCAGCTCTACTCCACATTTTCCCAGTCTGCTTTCTTGGCTTTCAGTCCGGTTCGGGCCAGGCCGCGGTGTGGCTTGCGGAGAAGACCGCGCAGGCCTGTGCGCAGAATCGCGCTCTCTGCTTGATTGGTACAACGGCGAAGATGACTGTGACGTCGGTGATTGCGACGACCACGATGATGATGCCGACGGCGAGATGACGACGGCGAGATGACGACGGTCATGATGATGATGATGATGATGATGATGATGATGATGATGATGATGATGATGATGATGATGATGATGAACATGATGATGATGATGATGATGATGATGATGATGATGATGATGATGATGCTGCTGCTGATGCTGATGCTGATGCTGATTATGCTGCTGCTGATGATGACGATGCTGATGATGCTGATGCTGATGATGACGACAATGATTCTGATGACGCTGATGTTGCTGATGCAGGTGATGAACGTCGTGACAACGGTGACTATCATGTTGACACTGGTGATCGATGATGTTGATGATGGCCTTGATGATGGCGAGGCCGCTCGTATTGACGAGGCAGGACGAGGAGGAGGAGGACGATCGTGAGGGGAAGGGAGTCGCAGGATGAGGATCAGGGGTGTGTGAGTATAAGGAAGACGAGCCGCTGCAGTCATCTGGTTCGGCTGCTACCTCAATTCCACATGAAAACGGCATCTCACCAGCTGGTGCTCGGTCGCGGCATGATGCTGACACCAGTTGTTCGTCGGTTGTGCAAGGCCCGGGCGGCGGCGCCCACCCGCGGGATGTTCGGCACGAAGTGCGGGTTCTGATCGAAGGAGCCTGCGGCGAAGCGCCGCCGCCCCCTGCGTTTTGGAAGAGCCTGTGTGGCCGACCGTTGCGGCCAGAGCTCGGTCGGGCTAGCGGACTGCGTGTTTCCCCCCAGCCGGTGTGGGAACCGGTCGGGGAACACGTGGTGGAGAAAGAAAGGAAGGCGGAGAGGGAGGAACAGGGGAGCGAAGAATGACATAGGCATACAAACTCGGAGGTCCGCGCGGATTCCTCGGATCGGCGCTGGACCCCCCTCCCTGCGGCGCCGGAGGCGCCGCCAGGGGGCCCCAGGGCCGATCCGAGGAGTCCGCGCGGACCTCCGAGGTTTTAGGTTTATGCCACTCTTTGTGTTCCCTGTAGGGGGATTGGGAAAGGGGGGGTTACGAAATTTGCTGCATGCAGCTGGTTTCGGCCTCACCGAGGGGCCCATTCCTCGATACATAGTCGCCTCCGGCGCCGGGAGGCGCCGGGAAAATCAGCTACGTGAGCTGATTCTCACCCCCCCCTTTGCTATCCCCCCCTTTCGCCCGACCCGACTAGAGAGGGAGGAAAGCGGAGGAGGAGGAGGAGGTCATTTCGGCAGAGACGTTGCCTGTGCAGCCCAGCCGATGCACATTCCGTGGTGCGCGGGTGGGCCCGGCGGCGGCGCCTATCGAGCCGGGAGCAGAGAACGACAGCACAGAGGAGGAGGACGGTGGTCGTTGGGTCGGGCACGCGTCCCTCAGCAGGAGGACGATTCGAGAATCGTCAGAGAATAGTCTGGGGACAACGTTTCGTGCTTGTTTTTTGGGGGGCTACTTTTGCGTACTTCTCTGGCTGCTTCTAGCTTTCCTTTCAAAATCCGCCTGTAGGAGGACGTGCCCGACCGAAGGGTATCGGCCCAAGCCGGCCAAGCAGCCCCCCGTGGGGGTGCGCCGCCGTGGCCTCGACGAAGCGGCCGCCGAGCAGCCCCGAGAGCGCGGGCGCACCCGCGGCGAGACGGCCGCCGAGCGGCCCTGAGAGCGCTTCGGCCACGCGCAGAGGGGGGTATGTGGGAGGGGGGGCAGGCTTCTTAGAAGCACCCCTGCTTCCTAGAAGGCGCGGGCCTTATCTGTAGATGTAAGGCTGGCGCCTTCTAAGAAGCAGCCCCCTTCCGAGAAGCCTTCCCCCCTCCCCCTACCCCCTCTGCGCGCCGCCAAGCGCTGGCGGGGTTCGCTCCCCGGCCCAGGGCGCCCCCCCCCAAGGGAGGAAAAGCCACCCAGACCCCGACGACTGCCGTTTCTACTAAACGGTCCTGGGCGTTTACGTCGGGTTAAGTCGGGCGTGTCCCTGGTTTAAGTCGGGCGTGTCCCTCTACAGGAGGAGTATTCAACAGTAGCCAAAACATAGTCTGGGGACGATTTTTTTTATAATTGCTGGACCATTTCTGAATATATTTGACAACTTGTTGTTTTCCTTACAAAATCCGCCTGTAGGGGGACATGCCCGACCTGACTCGAGGGAGGAAAAACAGATCAGACCCCGACGCATCGCGCCGCATCGCCGATGCGTCGGCGATGCGGCGCGATCCTCCGCCCCCATCTACTCGGACCCCATCTAGGAGGCCTCTAATCCGGGGTGGCCCTCTCGCGGGTCGCCTGGCCTGCGGCCGATTGGCCAAGCCCCAGTCCCTCCCGTCGGGTTCCTCGGCTTTGCTCCTGGTCGTGTTTTCTTGGTGAGCTGAGGGGCATGGGGCGGCGAGGTGTGTGAAGCTGGATTCGAGCGGGCGAGAAGGAGGAGCGAGGAGGAGCGAGGAGGATGGCGAGGAGCGGGGAGACATCGAGGTAGGAGGATGAGGAAGATAGAGGAGGAGCAGCATGAGGAGGAGAATGAGGAGGAGGAGTAGTAGTAGGAGGAGGAGGAGGAGGAGGAGGAGGATTGCGAGGACGATGGCACTAGGAGCACCATGCTGGATGGACGTCTTGCATTTCGTCCTTGCCTTTCCAATCGCCCCTATGGGTCGGGCACGCCCAGGGCGACATCCGCATCGCGGAGTTCCTGTCGAGCTTCGGCGGCCCGCAGACGACGGCGGAGAAGAAGAAGAGAGGTCCGGCGGGGGGAGGATGAGGATGAGGAGGAGGAGGAGGAGGAGGCAGGCGAGGCAGGGAGGAGGGGAGAAAGAGCAGGGCGAAGATGAGGAGGGGTGAGGGGACATATATAGAAGAAGTACGGGAGGTCAGAGTTGGGGGCTGAAACAAGCACTTGAGGAGGAGGCTGAGGAGGTGAGGAGGCTGAGGAGGGGATGAGGCAGGATAGGATAACCCCTCGCTTCCTGGCACACGCGCACACACACATAGCTTCGCGAACTTCGATATCTATAAGCCATTACTTGAATGTTTTTATCAATTGCCCCTCGGCCACATGGAACTAAAGGGGAGAAGGAGGATGATATGACTGATCATTCTGTTGGTGATGGTGATCTTGATGATTGTCTCTCCGATGACGACGATGGTATAGTGGTGCTGCGCGAGCACATGCTGGCCTTGCGTGGAGCTTGCCAGGCTCTCTCTTTCTTTTTCTCTTTCCCTCCCTCCCTCCTCTGTCTCCCCGAGCCCATTCCGAAGAGAACGGCCAGCCGGAAGCTTCGACGTGTCCCGAGCTTCTGTCTGAGCGCCGTGGCGAGCCGAACACTCCGGACACTGAACTGTGGCGCGCCGAGCGCGCCGAGCGCACGACGTGCCTCGCCACGATCTGCGAGCGACACAGACCCGGACGGAGGCACCATCGAGCCCAAGGTCGGGCTACTCGCCACTGCAACCGGAAGCGAGCAGTTACATATAACATATGGACCTGCTGCTGTTTTTCTCTCCACGGGCAAGGATTGCGTGCCCTCTTAGGGGGTGCTCTTGGAGGAGGCCTTTTGGGGCGTCTTGGGCGAATTTGCGGCCGACATGAGCACAATTTGGGCGTCTCGGGCCGATCGTCTGGCGATTCTGGACCCTCTTGGACCGTCTTTGGGGCCTCTTGGGGCCTCTTGGGGCCCTCCTGCCCTGTTGTGTGGCCTTCTTGGCCCGAGCAAGTCACGCGGCAAGCCACCCTGGGGCCCAGGGGGTACGCGCCAAGCCCCAAGAGATTTGGGAGCTATGGGTCCATGCCCCTGCAAGAATCCACAGGATTGAGGGGTGCGGCTGAAGGGATCATGCAAAGGACCCGAGGACACTCCGCCGCGTGGCCCAGGACACGGTATCGGATTCTGCGTTCATGCTTCGAATGTCACCCATGGGCAGCCTGCTGCGCCCCGTATCGAGAAGAACACATGATGGAACGTTCGGCTGGTGTGAACAAGCTTGCCCCACTGGCACGCAGCACTGCAGCAGCAGGAATACTACTGACGAGCAACATGCGGTCGCCCCGAGCCATCTCGCGAGCCCAGCGCAGGAAGGGCCCGAGCAGAGTGCAGCGCGCTCGCGGCCAGCCCTGCGGCCGCCCCCGACGACCGTCGACGATCGGTTTCCCCGCCGCCCCCCCCCCCGTCTCTGCGACGGCCGTCGACGACCGCCCGCCCCTGCCTGCTGCTGCCCCTGCCGCTCCAGCCGCTCCCCTGCCTGCATCCCGGCCGCCTTCCTTCCTTCCTTCCCCCCCCCCGTCCCTCCCCTCCCCCCGTCTCCTCCCCTCGTCTCCTCCCCTCGTCTCCTCAGCCTTGCCTCCTCCCCTCGCCTCCTCGCTCTTGCCTCCTCCCCTCGCCTCCTCGCTCTTGCCTCCTCCCCTCGCCTCCTCGCTCTTGTCTCCTCCCCTCGCCTCCTCGCTCTTGCCTCCTCCCCTCGCCTCCTCACTCTTGCCCCCTCCCCTCGCCTCCCGACGTCTCCGCCCGGGTCCCCACGTCGGGCGGCGCACCGCCCCGCGCCTGCGGGCTCGCCGCGCCCTGGCGCGGCCTCGCGCCGCTCCTGGCGGCCCGCAGCGGCGGGCATGCCAGAGGCACGGTCTTCTCTGCCCGCCCGCGAGCGGCCGCGGGCGCGCGCCCCTCCGCTTTCGTGCTTTCTTTCCTGCTCGTCGCCCTCCGTCTTCGCTTTCCCTCCCCCCTTCTCCTCGTCGGCTCCGCTCTCTCTCTCTCTCTCTCTTTCTTCCTTCCTCTCTCTCTCTCTCTTTGTCTCTCTTTTATTTTTTCCTCTCTCTCTGTCTCTCCGTGTCTCTTGCTGCCTCCAGCTTTCCCTTGGGGGGGGGGGGGACAGGGCGCCAGCAAGCAGGGCGTCTGTGGCCCATCCCTCTCCGGCCCATCTTCCGGGCAACTCCCCCCAGGGATGTTCTGGCGCATCGTGGGGCGGTGAGTCGCCCTCTTGGCGGCGGCTGGGCTAGCCGGCTCGCGGCCGCGGTTAGCTCTCGCCGGAAGCGCCGCGGGGAGGAAGGGGGAGAAAGGTGGGGGGTGGGGCGAGCCGAGTGGAGAGGCTTGGAGAAGAGAAGAGGAAGGAAGGGAGGGAGGGAAGAGAAATGAGGAGGGACCAGGGGAAGGAGGAGGAAGAGGCGGAAAAGGAGGAGGGGAGTGAGGAGGGGGCGGAGCAGGAGGAGGAGGAGGAGGAGGAGGAGGAGGAGGAGGAGAGGAGGAGGAGGAGGAGGAGGAGGAGGAGGACGAGGGGAGGAGGAGGAGGAGGAGGAGGAGAAAGAGGAGGAGCAGGAGGAGGAGGGAGGAGGGGGAGGGAGGGAGGGAGGGAGGGGAGGGAGGGAGGGAAGGAGGAGGAGGAGGAGGAGGAGGAGGAGGAGAAGGAGGAGGAGGAGGAGGAGGAGGAGGAGGAGGAGGAGGAGGAGGAGGAGGAGGGGAGAAGGAGGAGGAGGAGGAGGAGGAGGAGGAGGAGGAGAGGAGGAGGAGGAGGAGGAGAGGGGAGGAGGAGGAGGAGGAGGAGGAGGAGAAAGAGGAGCAGGAGGGAGGAGGGAGGGAGGGAGGGAGGGAGGGAGGGAGGGAGGGAGGGAGGAGGCGGAGGAGGGAGGAGGAGGAGGAGGAGGAGGAGGAGGAGAGGAGGAGGAGGAGGAGGAGGAGGAGGAGGAGGAGGAGGAGGAGGAGGAGGGAGGAGGGAGGAGGAGGAGGAGGAGGAGGAGGAGGGAGGAGGAGAGGAGGAGGAGGAGGAGGAGGAGGAGGAGGAGGAGGAGGAGGAGGAGGAGGAGGAGGAGGAGAGGAGGAGGAGGAGAGGAGGAGGAGGAGGAGGAGGAGGAGGAGGAGGAGGAGGAGGAGGAGGAGGAGGAGGAGGAGGAGGAGGAGGAGGAGGAGGAGGAGGAGGAGGAGGAGGAGGAGGAGGAGGAGGAGGAGGAGGAGGAGGAGGAGGAGGAGGAGGAGGAGGAGGAGGAGGAGGAGGAGGAGGAGGAGGAGAGGAGGAGGAGGAGGAGGAGGAGGAGGAGGAGGAGGAGGAGGAGGAGGAGGAGGAGGAGGAGGAGGAGGAGGAGGAGGAGGAGGAGAGGTCTTGTGTCCTCTCGCGTGTCCTGTCCAATCGAGTCCGACTGTATCCTCTCTTGGTCGTTGCCCCTGACGGTGTCCGAGGCGCTTGGCGCCCTCCCGTCGCGTCCCGGCCGAGGGGCGCACCCCGCGCCGCCCGCGGCGTGCGCCGCGGCGCGCCGCCGCCCGTATGCGGCGCCGCGCCCCGGCTCGGCCGCGCCCTCCCGTCGCCCGCCGCCCTCCGTCGGGGGCGGCAAAGGGGGGGGAGGGATGACTAGGGGGGGGGGATATCATGGCGGGGGCCATGAGATCTCCCCAGATTTCACGGCGCCTCTTCTTATTTCATTGCGTCCCTGGCCCCCCCGCTGGGCCGCGCACAGGCCGCCGGCCATGACTTGGAAAGCGCGCCAGTGGATGGCCCTGAATACACAAAAGGGGGTGTGTGCTCGCAGAGCCCCCTCCCCCCCTCCCCCCCTTCAAAGGGGGGGTGAGATTTTCGACCCCCCCTCCCCCCCTTAGGGGGGGGGGGGGTCCGAACCGCCTCCCCCCCCTCCCCCCCTTGAGGGGGGGGATGGTGGTTCCGGACCCTCCCCCCTCCCCCCCTTGGCGCTGGAAAGGGGGGGATGGGGGTTGGACCCCCCCCCTTCCCCCCTTTGCGCCGAACAGGGGGCTGGAGAGGGGGCCTCTCGGGTAGTGAGTAGAGAGTATAGTGTTTTAGGTAACGATTGGTGAGCAGTGGGTATTTGATAGTGAGTGGTGCGGAGTGAGTCGTGAGTAGTGAGTAGTGAGTAGTGGGTAATGGGTAGTGGTACTAGTGAGTAGTGCGTAGAGATTAGTGAGTAGTGAGTAGTGGGTAGTGGGTAGTGAGTAGTGGGAAGGAAGTAGCGAGTAAGGAATTATGAGTAGTGACTAGTGAGGGGTGAGTAGTGTGTAGAGAGTAGTGCATCGTGAGTAAGTAGTAAGCAGGGAGTAGGGATGAGGGAGTAGACAGTAGCGAATAGCGAGTGGTGGGTTGTGAGTAGTAAGTAGTGAGTAGGGAGTAGTCACTTGGGAGTAGCGAGTAGTGAGTAGTGAGTAGCGAGTAGGGCCTTGTGAGTAAAGAGTAGTGAGGAGGGAGTAGTCAGGAGTCAGTAGTGAGTAGTGAGTCGGGAGTAGTAGTGCGTAGCAAGTAGGGAGTAGCGAGTAGTGAATAGTGAGTACTGAATAGTGAGTAGTGAGTAGGGAGTCGTGAGTATTGAGTAGTGAGAAGCGAGAAGTGGGTATAGAGTAGTGGGAAGTGAGTAGGGAGTAGTGAGTGGTGAGCAGCGAGTAGCGAGTAGCGAGTAGGGAGTAGCGAGTTAGGAGTAGCGAGTAGTGAGTAATCAGTAGCGAGTAGGGCCTTGTGAGTAGTGAGTAGTGAGGAGGGAGTAGTCAGGAATCAGTAGTGAGTAGTGAGTAGGGAGTAGTAGTGCGTAGCGAATAGGGAGTAGCGCATAGTGAGTCGTGAGTAGTGAATAGTGAGTAGTGAGTAGAGAGTCGTGAGTAGTGAGCAGTGAGTAGTGATAAACGAGGAGTGGGTATTGAGTAGTGGGTAGTGAGTAGGGAGTTGCTAGTAGAACTCAATGAGTATTGAGTAGTGAGTCGTGAGTAGTGAATAGTGAGTAGTGAGTAGCGACAGACGACTAGAGACTAGCGAGTTGGAAGTAGGGAGTAGTGAGTAGCGAGTCGTGCGTAGTGGGTCGTGCATATTTCGTGAATAGTAAGTTGTTGGCAGTGCGTAGTGAGTAGTGAACTGTGAGTACTCAGTAGTACGTAGTGGATAGTGGTTAATGGGTAGTGAGTCGTTCTTAGTGAGTAGTGAGTAGTGGGCAGTGAGTAGTGATTAGTGAGTAGTGAGTATTGAGTACTGGGTAGTGAGTAGTGAGTAGTGCGTTGGGAGTAAGCAGTATGGAGTAGGAAGTAATGAGTAGTGAGTAGTGGAAGCGTAGTGAGTAGTGAGTAGTGGGTAGTGAATAGTGCGTATCGGGTAGCGAGTAGGGCGTTGGGATTAGCGAGTAGTGAGTAGTGAGTACTTTGTAGGGAGTAGGGAATAGGGAGTAGCGAGTAGCGAGTAGTGGATAGTGAGTAGTGAGTTGTGGGCAGTGAGTAGTGAGTTGTGGGCAGTGAGTAGTGAGTAGTGAAATGTGAGTAGTGAGTCGTGGATAGTGTGATTATTGGGTAGGGAGTCGCAATTTGGGATTAGTGAATAATGGGTTGTGAGTTGTGTTCAGTCAGTACTGGGTATTTGGTAGGTGGGTAGTGAGTAGTGAGTAGTTTGTAGTGAGTGGTGCGTAGTGAGTAGGGAGTAGGGAGTAGTGAGTAGTGGTTAGTGGGTAGTGAGTCGTTGGTAATGAGTTGTGAGTCGTGAGTAATGAGTCGTGAGTAGTGAGAGGTGGGTAGGGAGTAGCGAATAGTGAATTGTGGGTAGTGAGTAGTGCGTAATGAGTAGTGAGTGCTGTTTGGGGCCAGGGTTTGGGTTTGGGGTTGGGGGTGCGGGGACAGGGTAAGAGTGAGGATTAGTGTTTGGGGTGGTCGGGGTCGGGTTCCGGAGACCGGGGGCGCCGTGGCGAAAGGGGGGGGGGTCCGAATTTGGCGGCCAAAGGGGGGGAGGGGGGGGGGTCGGAACCCCCTCCCTCCCCTGTTGGGAGGGGGAGAGGGGGGGGTCCTCCGACGACGAACCGGGGAAGGTGGGGAGGGGGGGGTCCCCAACGACGGATCGGGAAAAGGGGGGGGTCCCCGACGACGGATCGGGGAAAGGGGGGGGGGGGGGGGGTCCCCCCCCCTCCCCCCCTTTGGGGTCATTCAGCGGCGCGCCCTCCATGATTTGACCCCCCCTTTTGGACGCCCCCCTCTTGGCCGCCCCCGACTCCGCTCCCAGGGTTACGTCGGGCAGGTCCCTCTGCAAGAGGAGTTTTCAAACATAGTCAACCGATAGTCTGGGGACGATTGTTTTTTGACTATTTTTGAATCTTTCGGGCCGTTTTCCGTATCGGAGTATGTCTGCGATTTTTCATAAAAGCAGTCAACGGTTACTCGACGCGAGTATCCCCATATGAACATGTTATAGTGATGGTATGCTTGTGTAGAAGACATTGTCCTTTTCAATATTTGAGTGTCAGCGAATCCATGTGGAAGAAGACGGAGGAGGAGGAGGAGTAAGGAAAACGAGTGAGCAGGAAGAGGAGGGAGTGAGGAGGGAAGAGGGAGGAGGGAAGAGGGGGGAGGGAGGAGAGGAGGATGAGGAGGACCTACGCCTCCTCTTCCTCCCACAATTATTCAATATGAATACTACTCTCCCTCTTCCCCTGATGTCGGCCTGGGAGTGTCCGACCCCCCCACGCGTACGTTTTTTTACACAGGTTTCCCCGGAGTTGGGTTTTCGCTCGCATTTTTTTCAAAATGCTGCTCTCGCTGAGGCGCCGGCCTCATTTTTGGGCCCCGCTCGTTCCGAATCGTGCTCCCGCTGCAAGCGCTGGCCTCATTTCCGTGCTTCCGCTCGTTCCGAATCGTGCTCCCGCTGCAGCGCTGGCCTCATTTCCGCGCTTCCGCTCGTTTCGACTCGTACTCCCGCTGCAGCGCTGGCGTCATTTCCCGTGCCATGCCACGGCGTGCAATGCAATGCTAGGTTGATGCTACGCTTTGCGGTGCTCTTCTACGCCATGCCATGCCGTGCTCTACAATGCATCGCGTACCTTTTCGGGATCATTGCCCTGGTCGACATCCGACTGTGCGAGTAGAGAGGGGATCTGCGCCATGGTAAGGGATGGGAGGGAGGGGTAGGATGTCAGATATGACGCGAGCGCACCTAGCTTGTCTTCCTCCCCCTCCCTCCCCCCTCTTCCGATCTCCCCCTCTTCCTCCTCCTCCTCCTCCTCTTCCTCCGCCGTTCCTCCTCAGCCTACTCCGTCCGTCCTCC